TACATCTTGCGTACAGATCACAACACGGACATGCATTGCTTATGGATGAGTGGCGTGGTTGGCTATAAGAGGCTTAATAGAATTGTAAAAAAAAAAACACTGTGATTCCCTCGCTTCTCTTGACGCTAAATCCTGAATGAACAATCCATATACTGCCACGCCTCCATTCGCGAAAGTTTTGGATCGCTCACATTATTCACATCTGTTGAATAAAAACAAACTCTGACTGTTTAAAAGAGCATAGGCCTACTCTAAAGTAGAATGGCATAAAAAAAAGATGCCGACTTTATGGTCCCTTTGAACCTGCGTGTAAAACCGTGCGTGCACAGATGTGAACGCCTCCTCCTGCAGCGACAAGGAAAACGGTGTTTCCTGTCGTAAAGTACTTAAACGGCACACAAATGGTCTCCTTTCCCAAATGCCACGGGCGTTCATCCTCCACAGTTCGTGTGTTTGACGTGCGACTCGCAAGTGCACGGTGGCCGCGTTTAGGCCAACAGATCAGACGCGGGGCCAGACCCAGTTTAATGCTTTAGACCAGGGGTCGGCAACCTACGGCTCCGGAGCCGTATGCGGCTCTTTACGGGCTGCTTCTTGACGATGAGTACGTATGTACTCAGATGCATTGCGGCTCTTGAAATACTGAATTTTGTACCGAATTGGAAAGAAATGGCTCTTCTTGTTATTTTGGTTGCCGACCCCTGCTTTAGACGTTTAGAGGCTCCGTCAGCCAAGGGCTTAGGATTTGGAGGCACCCCCCCCCCAAATATGTACTGTTTTTTGTTGGTGTAAAGGCAAAAAAGTAGCGCTATGATAAATCTTACAGTGTAATTAGGTCATTAAACCAAGCGCCTCACTTTGGGTATTACCACAAGTGCTATGCCAAAATTGTAATGTTTTTTTGTCATTTTAAATTACCTTTAGGTTTGCAATTCCTATATCATGTGTGTATAAAAAAATACAATTCGAATCAAAGTAACCATCTTGGATGGGTGGCGGTACAAACAATCAGTGTAAAGAAGTAATAAAATAATAAAAATAAAACACAATAAAATAATTCTCACTACGTTTCGGCCACAACGCAAGCAGCCGTTGTGGCCGAAACGTCGTGAGAATTATTTTATTGTGTTTTATTTTTATTATTTTATTACTTCCCTTCTACGTGACTTTACCGAAAGAACCAAGAAGATGAATCCCTGCAGTCACGAAAGCTTTAAATCGAATTCAGTGTAAAGAAGTGAACCCACAAAGCGGGCCCCCGACATGATAACAATCCCAAGGCCCCTCTCCAACTTAATCCGGCCCCGGAGCTGGCTGAGCGGCTGCTATTGATGGTGACTGCACCGCGGAAGCTGGGACGTGCCAGATAAATATTAGGCTTGCTGCCACGTCTCCTTCTCAAGACCCTAGCGCAAATTTGAATTGTTTATTCAACTAAGTCATAAAGTAAATACACAGGCGATTGTGTAGACGTACAAGTTTATTGTTGCACGCAAAACTGTAGATAGAGCATCAACGATGTGATAGCCATTTTTAAATATCAAGCCCCAAGCTTACCCGGGAGATTAAAGGATGCAAGCTGGGCTTTGCAGTGGCGCAGTAGGGGCCCTTTAGGAATTGCATTATTAGTGCCACGGTAACACTAAACAGGCCCCAATTTCCAGCCCCCTCTCCCAGTTTATCCCAGCATATATATGTCAATTGCCTAATCACGCGTTAGCTCCAGGCCGCCTGGATGTACCTCCTCCCCCACCTGTTTTTTTTTACTTCAGCAGAGTTTTTTTTTATTGCTGCCGATATAATCGGCCCGCACATCCACAGTATGGTCATTTTTGATGCGTATTGTAACAGAGGGGTGGAGCGACAGCTCTGTTGTCTGTGCACTGCACTATGCGTTACATTCCTGGCTGTGGATACATCAGCGGTGAGTGACATCATCTGAACCAGTTTGTGGTTCCCCCACCCCTACCGCCTTTCACCAGTCAGCACTGACCAGCTTGGTGAAGTATGGTTGGAGAAACTTTCATGGCCAATGCAGCCTTCATCCAGCTGTGGAATTATCATAAAAAAACTGCATTTGCTATGGTTCACTACAGATTACACGCGAAATTTCTCATTTGCGAATGGGGACATCTGGGATGAACGAAACGCAAACATTTTAAAGTAGATTCGACATTTAAGCTAGTAAATAAGATTGAAAAAGTACTTTCAAAAATATTATGTTTGTGAAATGTATTAGGTTGGAAAGCACAACTTGGAATAACTTTTGGTTTCTTTTACACTTTGTTTTGCGTCTCCTGCGTTGTTTTCGTTTGTCATTTCCCGAGTTCACCCAGCGGGTCACTCAGTTTGTTGGCAAAACATCATCAAGATAAGCTGTTTTAAATTTGCATCGGAATTTACTAAGCCTCGCTAGGCTGGGGATGGCACCACCGGGCGTGCAGCATTGCCACGTTGGATCTCCATCTGCTCATCAAAACGGGCAGAAGAGGTTCTCACAGATTCCCAGCAGCATTCCACAGACGATCAAAACCGCCTCTGACTCGGTTAAAAAACGCGGTTGACGGGCAGCGCTTGAACCCGGGGATCATCGCGAATGTTCACAAATCGGCAGGAGGACGACCTTTAAGGCTCCGTGCGAGGACACATGTGATCACCCTTCTCCGAGTATCCTGGATAAATGAGTAAAGTATGATCTAGATTTGAAGCTTTCGTGACTGCAGGAATCCATACTCTTTGGTTCTTTCGGTAAAGTCACCTGATGACGGACGCTTGTGTTGCGCCCGAAACGTCGTAATTTATTTTATTTTATATCTACGTGACTTTACCGAAAGAACCAAAGAGTAAGTAAACTTAAAAGTGCGTGTTACCAAATTTATTTAACTGTATTCACACCGGGCACAAGTTTGGGGTGCGTCTTACTTTCTGGAGTCGTATTCTGATCTGGAGAATACGGTACTGCACTTCTGGAATTGACCAAAGGTGATAAGAATTTTGAAAAATATGGCGATGGGAGGCAATTCTGAAGTGGAGCAGTGCGACGATCTAAGAAGCAGAATGGGGAAGCGTTTTCATCTGCAGTGTGGTGTTTGAACAAAGTGCGGATGAGATGAGATAGTTGGCCTGATAGATCGGGTCCTCAAGCTGGGTGGAGAGTTCAGTGAGTGAAGTTCATGGGGAAAGTAACCATGGCATAGGGAGCGACTGACCATCGGTAAGCCATGGGCCTGAAGCCACACTATCTACTCGCTTGGATGAAAATGTGTTGCTTGTGAAATGCCACTTTTAAATGTCCTTTAAACATGCGGAAGCATCGTTTAACAAGTGTGTTATGCTGAGATTTTTCGATTGTTCAATATTTTTACATTTTCTCAATGTAGAAACTGATAGGCCAAACTTTATTTCTGTGAAAGGCTATTATGTGCAAGGCTTTGCTGGCCTTTTAAAAATGTGCACCCTAATTTTATATCCCAAAAATTATGTGCGTGGGCTTAAATATATTCCTTTTGAAAGTCATTATTGTCAACAAGTTAAAAGCCTTGTACTGTGTCTGCAGAAATGCAACACAAGATAACACTGTGCTGTTGGAAATGCTTGAATTGTTTTGTCTACAAATGCAGGGATGTGTTGTGGGATTCCTCTTGTGGTTTTGTACCCACAAAGCAGGCCTGTCATGCATTTGGATTTGCCTTCTGGACATGCTGAAGCTATTCAGGGTTAACGACCGGAAGCACTCAACATCGCGTAGGAAGGTGAAGTTAAAGCTGTTACCACCACATCACTATCACCACTATCAGCAGCACTTCTTATGCTGCCCCATTACTACGATTACTGGTCATAACAATTAGTAATAATGATTCATTTCAAGAAATATTCCCAGTTTGGTAGGATATGACATACATTCCATGTTTTGTAGATCGTTCCACGTTTAGTACAAACAGCAGTTCCCACAAAGCCCAGGTAAATAAAGGAATACTAATTAAACCTCCCAGAATCCTACTTGCTGTACTGCCGTATCCAAGTGCCTCCTTACTCTTGCGTGTGAGTGTTTCATACAAGCTCCACCATATTTGCGCTATTCACCAACCCTGTGTCCGAGTTGCTGGATTATAGGCGTACACTTATTTCCATCAATCTCTCTCTTTTTGAGCTCTTAAACATCTGACAAAGTTGGCGGACCTATCAAGTGTGTCGGCGGTGCAACCGCACTGCAGCGCACGGGCTGGAGGGGCTCCAGGCGACGGAGAGAATTTGAGGCAAGGGGGGGGGATCCATTTCAGTCCAGCACCGAGGCCCATGCGGACCGCGCTTCGCCACTGATCAGGCACGCCTGATTGGCGAAGGCTGCTAGAATGGCTTTTTTATTTCTTGCAGACGAGGCCAGAGACAAAATAAGATAAAAAAAATCATAGATCGTGCCAAAAACATTTCCCAATGTAGGGTCATCTGTGCTTATAATTTTGAAAATCCTAGTGGGAAGACAGAAGAGATTTAGGCAAGAGTTATAAATGTCGTGAGGTAAGTGAAATTATAGAGGGCAAAATAGAAATGTATTGAGATGAGAGAGGAGCGCTCCGTGTTAGACAGATGTCATGAACGTGACAGATGTCGAAACGCTACAGGGATGTAGTGAGATGAGAAAAGAGATGCAGATTAGGTAGGGGAGATATTTTACTTGTATGTTTATGTTGCTTAGAATGTAATATTAATGTTGATATTTTTGACGGATCTGGGGCCCTTTGGGTTGCGTGGGGTGGTACGATTTTGCTTGTTTTGTTTTCGCTCAGTGCCATCGCTGGTTCACGCAGGGGTCGTGGCCGGGATTTATACACACACAGAATGTAGGCCAGAGCGAGCACGCCTCTTGCGCCAGGATCGCTATCAATTTCTCCCAACCCAAACATTTACAACTGCGCCGTTAATGATCATAAAATATATCTCTGGGATACTCTAAAGTGAGAGAGCTGTGCATGCACACCGTAATAACAAGTCCGTGAAAGTTAAACGTATAGCATTTTATACATTTTCTTGGGTTTAATACAGCATACGGAATTAACGTGGAATGTGTAAAGCGTATCACCGAGATACACAATGCTAATGAAATAGTTAATTGATATGCTGAAACATATGATTCACTTCAGAGAGTAGATTCTGGAATATCTCAATGACAGGGAAATATAACATTCAATGAGAAAAGCGTACGTCTATGTTTGGAATTGCTGCAGATATTTTGTGTGCGTGCATTTTTTACTCCCTTTGCTTGATTTTATTTAGCTCGAGACAACTCGCTCTTGCCAAACCCTCTCCAATTACAAACAACAGTTTCAACATTAACCATTTAATTAATTCTGACTGCAACAAGGGGTGGGTTCGGGACCGCAATGCGCCGCTGTGAACCCGCTGGCACGAATTTGATTCCCATTGAGTGATATCGGAACCGGTCCAGGATTCCTACCTTCACCAAACCCGTATTACCCAGCATGGTGAAGTATGTTTAACCAAACTCTACAATTGACGCAGTGCGAGAGGAAACAGAGGCTTTATCCAACACTGAATTGTCAATGGGTTGTATATACAGTTTATATTTTTTAAGTGACAACGAATTTAGCAACCACACCTGCCGAAATAACTACTTTCCTAAAGCTACTTTTGCAATGGGTTTCATATTTCATTTAATGTTTTTTCCACCCCAGGTCACCGGTGGCACGTGACAAGCAGCTAAAGCCCCAGCGAAAGGCTTGCCAAGACGTAGTGTGCCCGACCGCGGACATATTTTCCGGGTTTGCCGAGGACCGGGGCAGATCTGCCTAAGATGAAGCCATGCCCATGGCAAACACCCTCATTAAAAAGATCACTTCGTGACTCTGGAAGCCAGAGAGCAGATGTGGTGAAGGTGACATCTTGGTTGTGACTCTGCCCCCTTTGAGAGCCCGTGCACGGGTTCTGTCTGTCTGTTTTTTTTTTTAACCGCCTGTTTCCATAAAGGTGCGCGAGTACTTTGTGTACACGTTACCCAGGTGCATGCAATATTAGTGGCATCAGAGCACCGAGCTGTGTTGCCGTGATGAGATGTGTAGCGATCGGTTCAGTACCACCATCCCATCGGCGCTGTCGGACGTGGTTGCTGAGCACCCTTATCCCTCCTGATGCTAATGGGCTCAGCCCAACCCTCCCCACCCCCCTAAACATCTGAATGATCATTCAAGTCAAAAGATGTTGAAACAAATATGAGTGCAATTAAGCGATGGACGTCGCAGCTTTTAACTCCGATGTTCAGCTTAACGCAAAATAGACAAAAGCAGACGGGGGAGCGTAACTCATTCTGTGTATCATTGAACGATTGTTTCATCTAGATTTGGAGCTTTCATGACTGCAGGAATTACTTTTTGGTACTTAAGGTAAAGTCCCGGAGAATGAAAATAATTTATATAATTTAATTTATTTTCTGTAAAGTCCCGGAGAAAGAAAAGAATTTATATTATTTAATTTATTTTCTTTCTACGTGACTTTACCGAAAGAACCAACATGCGATTGTTTCATGTTTTGTTTATCGTTAACACTGCCGTGACCCTCCACCCCCCCACCCTGAGAGCACGGTCGCGCTAGAGGGTTGACTCGCTGGTGTCAAGGAACGCATACTCTTAGTTCTTTCGGTAAAGTCACGTAGGTAAAAAATGAAATTAAAATTAATAAAAAATAAAATAATAATTTTAATTTCATTTTTAACCTACGTGACTTTACCGAAAGAACTAAGAGTATGAATCCTTGCAGTCACGAAAGCTTCAAATCTAGGGTCAAGGAACTTGCCTACGTTGAGGTTTCACCGTGGCATCACGCATATTGAGTCGTACAACGTCCCCAATTTTCAGCTTTGCCGTATCCATTCTCTTTGGTTCTTTCGGTAAAATCACTGGATTGTTTTTTGTGGAACTGCTGGATTCTTTTTTCCGCCTGAGGACGACCGCTTGTGTTGCGATCGAAACTTCGTGATGTATTATTATTTGTTTTATTTTATTTTTCTACCTACGTGACTTTACCGAAAGAACCAAAGAGTATGGATTCCTGCAGTCACAAAAGCTTCAAATCAAGATTTGCCGTGTCAGTCAATTCCACCGACTGAACGTTATGCCGTAAGTAACTTCCCAATGTAACATTTGCCCTCTCCTACACGCATATATATTGCATTGTTTTTCAAGTACAACCACATCATCTTGTACCTGCGATGAAAAATACCGTTCATAAGGCCACGCAGCTGACATTTTATATGCACAAACAAGTAATGTGAAACTTTGGCAATTTTACATACAATATATAAATTGCTTTATATAATAATACATCTTGTAAATATGAATCCAAGGCTACATTAGTGGACAGTGCTGCAAAATCCATTGTTGTACTATACTTCTGTGCACCCCCCCCCTAACTTGCGTGAAGTATGGTCAAATAATCCTCCACGACTCACACGGCACCAGGAAGGGCCTTATCCAGCAGGGAATTCACACAAGGGCTGTACACGTGCACGTGAGCTCAGTTGCAGAATATAACATTTGAGATTCCGGATTATTAATGGCCGAGTCAAATAAAGGCACATTCAAGGCACTGGAAGAAATTAAACTTTGGGTGTTTTTTGGTCTGTAACAAAACTGTTACCCAGCGGTTGGGTGGATATTCTCTGCTAAACGTGGCGAGTGTTGCGGAGGAAAGGTCAACTTTGCTCGTGGCTTGGCGTTTGCGTGTCGGTCATCCGGCCATCCAGATGAGCAGCGAGATGACGAAGGTGATGATGGCGAAGAGAAGGGACGCTCCGCAGTAGAAGGTCAGGGAGAGGCCCAGGGTGGCCCCCACGAAGACGCTGCGCTTGTCCCTGACGCACCTCTTGAGGAACGAGCAGAACTGCACCAAGACGTTGACAGACGAATGCTAAGAGGGACAGTCTTTACACCTCCCCCCACCACCTCCCGCATCTGCATCATGTCCACCACCCTGGTGGACTGTGATGACATACACTACAAACTCATTGTGTTGCTGGAACATCGCGGGTCATAAGTATGTATCAACGATCCTCATTTCTGTATTTCCAGATACAAAAACAACATTTATAAGACTGCTATTATATGAACATTTTAACATATATGAAGGGTTCTTTTGACTTCGAAAATCACACGAATGCAACTTTTTTTTTATGTGTAATGCATACAAGGATTCATCTCACAGTCCCTTGGGGACAAGGTGGGTTAGTGGCGTAGCTATCGAGTGTGCAGGCAGTGCAATTGCACCAGGGCCCACGTGGATTGTACTGGAGGCACCAGACTATGAAGAATGGAATAATTGGGACAGAGCTCATGCCAACTACACTACGCCAATGAAAATAAAGTATTTGTGAGAGAGCACCTCTCATGTAATGCGGGGCGACTGACATGTCAACAAACAAGCAGAGCCCAAATATTTTAATATAGAAGCACAACACGATTTACAAAAAAAGGCCGTTCAAATGCTTTTGTTTATTCTTACAATAGCATTAAACTACTGGCAAATGCAACCATACAGGTGGAATCAAATTACGTTTGGAGTGGAGCTGTGGCATTGACACTCAGCTCCCGAGAAACACTTCCAGTACAAGAGCATCCGAAAATGAACCTACATCTACGTGGTGTCAATTCTCGGCAATGGGTGAAAGAGACACACTAATTGTCGGTAAACAGTACGGTTATTGATGGTAGCTTTATTAGGCAACAATGTTCGTGGTTAATCGGGTCAATTCCATTCATCGTTCCATACCTCCCCCCCCCGACCCGCCCCCCGCGGTGTGTGCCAGCGCGATTACGATCATTGGTGTTAATTGATTAACGCGCAGCTGTGTGCTCATTAATTAGCAGCAAGGTACGGGCTTGTTTGCGATTCACTCGTTCTTCGAGTTACTTATTGGGTGACGACGGTGGTTAGCGTGGCACTAGGAATCCGGCTACCCGAGTTCGATTGCCGAGATCCTGGGCATCCCCTCTCCACCAATTAGCATCGACCAGCGTGGTCAAGTATGGTCAAAATAACCCCTGATGATTCCATAGCGTGAAGAGGCATTCGGCCAACAGTAAATTGACAAATGGCTGTGCATTATTAATTTGTACATCATCCGGCAACGCATATTTACACATTTCATACTCGCTCTGCTGTGCTGGGTGCTTCAACAGAATATGTACGCGCGAGTGCGAGCGTGCACTGATGTCTGTAAATGCACGGGAACGGAGCGTAGGCGATGATGACAATTGATGGTGATGATAGTGGTGGTGGTGATGAAATGGTAGGTGAGTAGGTAAGTTTAATACATCTGTGACCAGATGAGGATCCACGCGGTTACATTCTCCTCTGCTGACCCCCAAGTCTGGAACTCTTGTTACATAAATAAACTTATTTCGCACCGTACGCACAAGCCATCCGTGCTTCCCCGGTTTCATTACACGGCCGGGCTTCTTTCTACGAATGCCTGTCTCCCTGGCCTATGCCTCGATTGCCTCTTAAATATACACGCAGTACAGTCATCTGTAAATTGTATCATCTGTAAATTGTGTACAGAGTATATGAGATGCGGTTTCGTTAAGACCTGGGGTCGGCAAAGCAAAGCAACAAGAGCCATTGTTTTGCAATTTGGTAACCCCCCCCCCCTCCCATTATTTCAAGAGCCGCAATGCATAATGTCAACAAAAAGCAGTCCTTAAAGAGCAGCATGAGGTTCTGGAACCGCAGTTGGCATGCATACGCTGTACATATTGTTGGTATGTAGACGCTGTCGTGTATACGCTGTATACATACCAACGATGACTTTGTTCGGCTACTCGTGTTTACCGGGGGCTGGTGTTATAACGATCGCAGAATCGGAAGAACCACGCCTCCCGCCACCGGAGTGGATCGGACCAGCGTGGAGGGAACGCATCGCGAACGTCTGCGCGCGCTCGCTCTCTCTCTCTCTCCGTACCTGCTCGGTCTGCTCGCTCCACGCGTCTCCGTAGCGGCAGTGCGTGGCGAAGTGCTCGCAGTTGTTCCACAGCAGCGAGTAGACGGTGTCCCCCGAGTAGTTCTCGGCCCTCCTGGCCGCCACCTCCCCGGGCAGGGAGGCGCGTCGGCGCGCGTCCGCGGGCTCGTGGGCGAGCCGGTCGGCCGCGTTCACGAGCACCTGGGGCGCCCCGTACACAAAGTCGACCACCGAGTCGACCCTGACGGTGCCGCGTCGAGCCACGGAGCCCAGGATGAGCCGAGTGTTGGTCACCACCTTGCACAGGAGCTGCTGGTCGCTGGTGAGCAGGGGCAGGATGTCGGGCAAGAAGTGCGCGACTCGGTCATCCCCCAGGTAGATGCCGAAATGCGTGAAGAGGGTACGTGGTACCTCCAGCAGGTCGCCGCGATTGTAGGAGGAGGCCGACTCGGTTCTGGGGCGGTTCGAGCGGGTCCCGGCCCCCACCGTGAAGGAGGAGGTGGTGGTGGAGGAGGATGCCGAGGTGGTTAAGGAGGAGGACCTGGGCCACGTGTCCCCGTCGAGACGTTTCACGTGCAGGGCCCCGCGCAGCGCGCAGTGCACGGCAGGAGGATCACCTCCTCCTCGTTCTTTCTTGCGGATCACCCCAGCTGCTGCCGCTGCTGACAACGCGGGCGAGGCGCCCATAGAGGAGTGCACGCCCGCGATCATATCACGGGTGGCGTGCGACCTCCTGGATACGATGAGCCCGCTGGTTCGGTTCGATGAGCGTTGTCCCTCCACCGCACCGAGGTGGAGTAAAGCGGAAGAGGCCTTGTCCCGTGCGCGAACAAATGTGCAGAGTTACATTTACACCGTGACCCGTGTCTTCCTCCCCGCCGCTCTGGAGCTTATCGCGCGGGCGAAAAGTGAGCGGGGACGCGACAAATCTGGCCACCGAACGAGATATTCGTGGTGGAATTCAACTCGTTGGCTTTAATGAGCGCAATCATAATGAGGTGCCCTGTGTAAGTCTGTGCCGCCGCCGCCGCCACCGCCGCGTTTATAACGGCACAATGCGAGGAGAGCGTTGTGCCGTTAACGCGACTGCTTGGCTCTGGGGGGTGGCTGTGGGATTATTGGGGAGGGGAGGGGAGAGAGCGCGCGCGGGATGGATGTCAGCCGCTGGGGAGGGTGGCTCTGTTCGTGTGGTGGGGGGTGGGTCCTGGGTGACCGGGGGACACCGCGAGAAATCGAGGCGGGTGGGAGCGAGTGACACGTGCCACACGTAATCGCAACCAGCCACCACTGTGTCGCCATCGACCGTCGCCTATCGATCATCGTTCGTCAGGCATCATCTTTCACTTCATCCGATTCACTTCCACTTGTATTTAACAACAAAGACAAAGATAGCCATAACCGACTGTTGGGGCAAGTGCTGTTAGCGAGCACCTATAAATGCCGGCACGGCACACGAGGGGGTGGGTGGCCAACACCACGCCCGGCCGCCTTTGTTTCCCCAGTGGTGGCGATGTTTACACATCGCACCGGGTACACATTTGAGGCCGAGTCGACCTAGGGGAGGCCCAGGACCGGTTCAGATGATCGTCACCGATGTTTAACAACATACATACAAAGACGTCCGTTGCGTGTGCAAAGATTGGCTTATACGCAGCATGCAAAACTGCCACTTTTTCTGCACTCTGGTCATCATAGTCCAGAATGTATTTTTTGTTTGTTTAAACCAAATCTACATGCAGCAGTTATCGAGAGTGCAGGCAGTACAACTGCACCGGGCCCCACGGAGAGGTGGGCATAGCATTCCTAACCAGCAAGGCCCATGCCAACCATGCCTCGCCACTGAACAGGTGTGCATATATGTGCCAGTACCTGATACACACACACACACGGGGGAATTGTTCATTTGGACAATAAGCCACGCTGTGTGGCGTTTGAGAACGGCGTGTCTGTAATAATTATTATCGTGTGAAGCCATTACTAACGTCACACACGAAGCACAATTGTCATTCTCTATCCAAGAAAGATTCGCTGTGTATTCTGTAGTTTTTTTTTTAAAGAGGGTCTTTGCTTCGGCATGTTTGGTCAACTCCATTGCTGGGTGTTTGGTTACGTGGGAGGAAATTGGAGTACTTGGGGCGGGGGGGACACACAAACACACCCCAAGCATTTGATGGGGAACAGCATTTCAATCCCAGCACAAATAGATTTAACCCACATACTGACCTAATTCAGTGAGTTGAGCAGATGTATCTGCAGAGCACACCCACTGTTGCACTGCCATGTACTGGCAACTCGCAGTCCTTGCAGTGTACGCCTATACAAGTTAGCAAGCCCTGGTGATCAATAATGCACATATCTGTTCTGTTATTCTGTGATGTGTTTTCTCGTGAGATTTCGTTTTAAAGCGTTCGTGACTGCAGGGATTCATCTTCTTGGTTCTTTCGGTAAAGTCACGTAAATTGGAAATAATAAAATAATACATTTAAACATACTAAAATACGTCGTGAGAATTATTTTATTATGTTTTATTTTATTATTTCCATTCTACGTGACTTTACCGAAAGAACCAAGAAGAAGATTTCGCTACTGTTGGAATTGGCTAAGCTAATGGGGACTCTACATACATGACTCCCAGAGGTAGACTTCTGCAGAAGTGAGCATTGGTGACTATGCTGCTCTGCTGATGAGTCCGAATGAGCATGAAACCAATCAACAGTTGCCTATCACCGCATCTCCGTTGCTGTCAGTTGGTCAAATTTGTTCACATTTATTTTGATGCTGATCTCAGACAAGAGAACGACAGTGCACTTCTTTAGGTCGTTCTATATGTACATTGGGGCCGTGTGCTTTTTACGCATTGTTTGGAAATCATTAAAGCGCGTCTATAAGCATCTTCTTGGTTCTTTCGGTAAAGTCATCACGTAGAAGGGAAGTAATAAAATAATAAAAAATAAAACATAATAAAATTATTCTCACGACGTTTCGGCCACAACGCAAGCAGCCGTCCTCAGGTGAAAACCAGGTCCGCCAGGTCCGTCGAGGCGACAGAGTCATTCAGACTACGTGACTTTACCGAAAGCTTTAAAACGAAATCTCACGAAAAAACCCCCATCATCACAGAATAACAGAACAGATATGTGCATTGTTGATCACCAGAGCTCTGTCGCCTCGACGGACCTGGTTTTCACCTGAGGACGGCTGCTTGCGTTGTGGCCGAAACGTTTATTATGTTTTATTTTATTACTTCCCTTCTACGTGACTTTACTGAAAGAACCAAGAAGATGAATCCCTGCAGTCACGAAAGCTTTAAATCAAAATCTAAGTCTATAAGCATGTTCGAAAATCCTGCTTGGCTCCCGAGACGTGACCAGATTGGATGCATTCAGTGTGGTTTTGTCGTAGGCACTCCGATTGTGTTTAAATATCTGAGGTGAGAGGACGCATATTAATTCATAGTTCATATCTGTCAACCCATACGGTTTACCTCGTATTCTGGTACAGGGAAATTGAGAAATTGAGTCCGATTGTGTTTAAATATCTGAGGTGAGAGGACGCATATTAATTCATATTTCATATCTGTCAACCCATACGGTTTACCTCGTATTCTGGTACAGGGAAATTGAGAAATTGAGTCCGATTGTGTTTAAATATATGAGGTGATAGGACGCATATTAATTCATAGTTCATATCTGTCAACCCATACGGTTTACCTCGTATTCTGGTACAGGGAAATTGAGAAATTGAGTCCGATTGTGTTTAAATATATGAGGTGAGAGGACGCATATTAATTCATAGTTCATGTCTGTCAACCCATACGGTTTACCTCGTATTCTGGTACAGGGAAATTGAGAAATTGAGTCCGATTGTGTTTAAATATATGAGGTGATAGGACGCATATTAATTCATAGTCATATCTGTCAACCCATTCGGTTTACCTCGTATTCTGGTACAGGGAAATTGAGAAATTGAGTCCGATTGTGTTTAAATATCTGAGGTGAGAGGACGCATATTAATTCATATTTCATATCTGTCAACCCATACGGTTTACCTCGTATTCTGTTACAGGGAAATTGAGAAATTGAGTCCGATTGTGTTTAAATATCTGAGGTGAGAGGACGCATATTTATTCATAGTTCATATCTGTCAACCCATACGGTTTACCTCGTATTCTGGTACAGGGAAATTGAGAAATTGAGTCCGATTGTGTTTAAATATCTGAGGTGAGAGGACGCATATTAATTCATAGTTCATATCTGTCAACCCATACGGTTTACCTCGTATTCTGGTACAGGGAAATTGAGAAATTGAGTCCGATTGTGTTTAAATATATGAGGTGATAGGACGCATATTAATTCATAGTTCATATCTGTCAACCCATACGGTTTACCTCGTATTCTGGTACAGGGAAATAGAGTTTTCAGGTTCATACGGTGTACAGCCGTTTCAAGACGGGCAACATGTTTTTTTTTTACTATTTGTGTTTCTTTCTTTTGACGGGACTTTGTGGGATGAACGTTGAGATTCATAAGGGCACGGGCTGGACAATGAGGTCTGAATTGGTCTGTAATAAGGTAGGCACTGATAAGTGGTTGACTGATTTGATAGTTCCCTATAACCCCTTGGCATCCCACCAGACACCAACCACGTGCTCAGTTAGGAAGGTGGCAGCTGCCTCAGTTGTGTGAGTCTTGTACATAACCCGCTACTGACACACACACTCTCCCTCCCCACATCTGAGAGCAAATGCATATAGCAAAGCCAAGTTCTAATGATAATAAACATAATAATTGTTGATTATTACGTCGGCTATTTTATGTACATAATGTCCACATTGTCCTGTTAAACCTAGGTTACCAAAGTTAGTATTTTGGTCTACCCATGTTGGTTTGGTTTTTACGGATAAATACAGGTGATTCCATTTATAGATACCGCCCCACAATAGTACAGTATGGAGAACATTATAATATTTAGATTAAGGGTTGTTAAGAACGAGCCTCCATTGCAAGCGGCACATTGTTTGCAGTTATTGGAATGTTTAGTTTACAGTTGTCATTGAACTCGTGTCTGATTTTGCAATACGTTTCGTGAGGACAGTAGTTTCCTTCGTGGTGACGCGTGTGTCTGCGTGTGCCACAGTGAATCTCTCACCCACACCACCACCACCTTCCTTGTCTGTTCACCTGTTAGATACGGGAGCCACCGCTCTCATAATATTCACTACCTGTTGAAAGGATGGTAATTATAAATAAATGGGTCGCCCTGCATACTCTGTTTATATCCTTTATCCAGTTGACCAACATTCTACCCGTGTAACCATGTTATTGTTCTAGATGTCTCACTTTAGTCTCCACTCAGGAGCACTTGGGAGCTGAAGTGAACGGAGTGCTGATCATTCCTCGGATTTGTGAGGCTCTTCCACCAGCACTCCACACTGTACGTATTCATTGAACGCGGGATACAGTACAGTACTGCACCGTGGGGTATCTGTAAACGGATCACAATGCATAATGGTCAGATAGAACCAAGTTGTCACACAGGATGTGGGGCAGAATTGTCCTTTACTATGAGCACGATGGTGACACGCACTGATTCTCGGGACAAGTCAAGTCAGTTTATTTGGTATCGGGCCCATTTCAGCTAAAATGCTCTTTTTTCAACTGCGATCCGGCCAAAAGTCAAAGATTGTAACAACATGAAAACGCAGATTATAATTTGAAGTTTTTATTGCGTTTTTGTTCTTGTTAAGTTATTCCAATCGGCATGAAGTCAAGAGAAAAAAAACCCATCCGTACCGAGCTCCCGCTGTGCGCTGAGTCGCCCTGTGTTGGCCCGTGGATGGAGATTTCACAGAAACTTCTGCTATACAGACATGCTAATCACATGACAGTAAAAACAAAATGTAACATTTGTGAGAGCTTGTAACGTTAGATAAAACTTGTGACATTCGAATGTGATTTTTTTCCCGTTAAGTCCTTGGGTAGCCAGATTGACACAATTAACTTGCTGCACTGGAGCACCCAGATTAATAATGGATGGCTGCCCAGAACCAGGATTGTAGTTTTGCTGGCTCAGTTCCTGTGAACTC